ATATATTATATATATATATAATGACCTCAGCCAACTTCCCCCTTTATGTTCCTAGTCTCTCTCCCGTGTGATTTTATCTATGATGCTGCATGCAGTCTTCTGTCGGTCTTCTCTCTTTTACTTCTGTCTTGCTGAGTCTTTCTAGCCTAGCTCCCTCCTCTGTTCCCCTTTTGCTGGTCAGTTGGCAAACAGCCACTCTCCCGTCACTTGTTATCTCCGTAACCCCACTGGGTTTGTTCTGCACTTCTTACCCCGGTGAAGTCTTTCGGTGGTCTCCATTGCTAATTTGCTAAGTGACAGTTGCTGGAGGCGCTATCAGCACTGCACTTTTGTAGCTACCCAGACGTGGGTACGTGTAGACGGAGTCCCCTCCACTCCTGTCCCCATTCAAATCGAATCCACACTCCCAAAGAGCAACACAAATCAGTACTTTTCAGCGCCTGTAATTATGGGGGTTCGACGACACACCAAACGCTAGTCACGCCAAAATGCAGGCCTCTTCCCTATGTACAACCACAAGACCCTTAGATTCAAGCAAGATCAGGCGTTCCTCCCCATGAAAGAGGTTTAAAACTAACTCAAACACCACACAAAAGAATACTGGGGCACTCCGCTTGTCTCTATCGACATCCTGCTCTGCCCGCGGTCCTCTCTACTCTGCAGCTGCCTCCAGAGTACAGAGCACCCCTGGCGTTGCTCCAGCTGCAGTCGCTGAAGCAACGCGAGAACCTGAAAGAGGAACAAGTGCCAACACGACTCATCAGCAGTAAAAAATGAAGCAGCGGTCAACGGAAAAGACCTCATGACTGCCTGCCATGTTGCACTATCCACGGTACATTACAAGACAAAGCAAATATGCGTTCTTGGCCAATAAAAAATACTCTAGGTGCAGAAAAATCACTAATTCGTGCCAGTTGTGTGGCATCTGCCACCCCGAAGTGTTTTTTCGGGGATTTTGTTAGGGCTGGTACGTCCCTTCGCGTTTATTTGGCCGAGAACATATTGCGGAATGCGGAGACAAACGAAGAAGGCAATGCGCTCCAACTGCGGCCCACGCCTTCTCTGTTCTGTTGGACAGGCCGCACGGAAGAGGCCCTCTGCAGTCTCTGTTGGGCCCTCTCTTTCAGTCGTTCGAAGACTGTGTACTCCCCCGCCTTTAGACTCTGCGGCACAGAGTGTATAGACGCCTTAATCGCTGGGGAGACAACTCCTATATTCCTGGGCGGGAAGCTGGAGCGGCTGTTTAGAGTCGACAGACCCCGCTGGAGCACGGCCTGCTGAAGTCCCCCGCTCCTCGGCTGTCCTCTAAATTTTTCGCTGCCTTCCGTGTTACCGCCACAGCTGTTGTTGCTACGCAAGCAGGTGCGTCCTACTGCCGCCGGACTCTTTTGGCCCCTAAGTTTTCCACTTTGTGTGTTCAACGGCGCGGTCCCTCCCCTCCTCAAAGGCTGTTGCATCTCCGTATTTGGCGTCTCGCCTGACGGAACTATATATGCGACAACTGCAGTTATGTCATCTGGTTTCCCTCCCACAAGGCGACGACCCACCTCGTCGAATGCAGCCTTTGAGAAGGGTGTGACTACCGGCCAGGAGACTCCTGGTGGTTGTTGCCCAGCATTTACCGCTCTCTGCGCAGAACAAAAACGAAACAAATGGCAGAGGTAGCAACGCTACTCGACCAAGCAGCAACAGCTGCAGAAGTCCCAGCAGCGACGGTGGTTGGTAGGTCACCATAGCACAAGCAAACGCAAAACAAGCGGCAGGTGCACCCGCAGCTGAGGAAACACCAATGTTACTTGCTGAGAAGAAACAGAGTCGATACTGTACTGTCTGTTGAATGGGTTTCTTGTTTACGTACAAGCGACACACAACACGAATAAGGCTGATTTCGAGGTAAGAAACCTCTCTCGTGCCAACATATGAAGGGATTCAGCGATCGCAGTTTAAAGGGTTGGAATTTACGATTTCGCCCACTGCTCCCGGTGCCCTGCTATTTGCTGCGCAGGCGAGGAGGTGGCGGGAGAGCAGCATATCCAGACTCAATAGCAACAAAGCGGTGACGGGAATGGCATGAGGTGAACTTTGCGGTGCATCTTGAACTGACCTCTAACAGAGCGTCGACCAGGACAGACGGGCTGCACTTGGGGGGCTTTCCGTTTCGGGAGTCTGCCCAGCAGAGTTTGTTGACGAGCTCCAGAACATCATCGTCGAAGAGGTTATCAAACAGGCCGTCTGTTCCGAGGACGACAATATCTCCGGGGTGCACTACAACCGACCCTACGTCTGCTGTCTGTGCTGTCCTCCTGAGGATGGCCTCCCCCGAGCAATCTGTGTCGGGCATGCGAGCGAACTGAAACGGACAGTTAAAGAAGTGCTGCTGCGACACCGTTCTGTACACTACCTGGTAACCCCCGTACTCTTCGGGGTTTGAGACCCGGCCCCTGCTGTCGTGGCAGGTTGTGTACGAGAACTCATGAGCTGCGGGGTATGCCTTGGGCGGCGTGTCAGTGCGCCGGAGCACCAGCAACTGTGAGTCCCCAATGCTCACAGACCACAGCCTGCAATCGTCGAGCAGCGCCAACACACAGGTAGTGGAGCCGAAACTCTTGCACTGAACAGACGCCTTCGTCAGAATATAGAGCGGAAGCTTCGGGGTGTCCACGTCCACGTCGCAGGCATGCAAACTCTCTTCTGCCTCTGCATCAAACACCACTGAGTTCAGAGAACGCGCACGGCACTCCTTCAGACACAAACCCAACAACTCTGCGGGTAACTCGGAAGGATCCAGCCCTTCGTCTTCCACCGTACTGACTCCATCCGCTATGCCAATCACCTGCAACGCAAAACTGCAACGCATATGTGGAGTAGCACTATGGTACTCTTACCAATAAAAATGAGGAACGATGCATACATGTGGGAAGTACATAGCTTGCTCTGTTGTCGCGTCATGATATCAACACTACTGTCTGTAGAAACAAAAGCTCAATAGAGGCCGCAAGCTGACAAAGAAACATACATTTTGATCTGCAGCAAATGCGTCGGCGTTAGTACTTTTCAAAGCAGCCTTCTGAGGATGCTGTATTGACTTCCCGGCCACCACGAACTGGAGGGGTTGCAAAGGTGGCGTCTCTCGCATCACGAAGCTTTCGGCCTCCCGTCCCTCCCCGCATTCGCATGCGCAGCAGCTCATTCCCCTACAGCACCAGAGAAGAGAGAATCTAAAGAAAGGGAGACAATATAATGGATGGGCTGAAGTGGAAGAATAGCTCGGACACGCCGACCGAACTCTGCCCTCACCCACGCCCCGTAGACACCAGAAGACGGGGCAACGCAGCAGCTGCTTCTCATACAATAGCCTCAGGCCAACGCGACAAGCAGGTAGAAATGGAGGAAAGAATGATTCGTGAAAACGGAAGAGTGAGGCACCGCCCTGTCGGCCGTCACCGGTTGCATTGCCTCTACAGCGTGGAGAGGATGACGGTCAATCTCAATAAACCAGCATATAAAAGCACTCCTTTAAATGATTTGAAGAAGGAAGACGCATCGTGGAAACACCTATTAGGCCAGACGGGATCCCGGCTTGATGCTGGCTGCCGCCGTGTTGCGATGGTGAGGGCGGCGCGTCGAGTGTTGCTTGTGCAGCTGCTACCACCAATTGAACGTTTATCCCCAAATTATTGCACTGCAAATTCACATTTTTCATTAATTGGCTGCTTTTGGCTGCTCTGCTCAGCGTCGTAAAGGGTCTACGCAGATGCCCCGGACCGCCGGCGCAGGCGCTGGACAGACGGAAAGCACCGGCTACTTCGAAGAGGGGAAGCGGGGTGGGAGGAGGCAAGCACAATCACTGGTATCTTTGTCATGAATATTATGTCTACAACATTTTAGCAAAGTCCGTCCATCCATATGAAGAAAACACCAACATTCAAGCTGCGAACAACAGACATCTCCACTGGTCACCTGTTTGTCCAGCATGCAGTTGGCGGGTACACGTACGAGATGCATGCGCTTGGGACACCTACCGAGGGAAACAACCAGCGGTGGAAAGATATGATGCCATTTGCACCACACAGGCGTCGGCAGATGAACCTAGACTGCAGCCTACTACGTTGGCCTGCGGGTGAACGGCAACGGTTGAACCCTTGCAGGGTTGTCACAGGGGAATGCGGCAGATGGCAAATCCACGAGACAGTTATTACCAAGTGAAGATTATATGAGGCTGGTGGGTTTGAAACCCCACGCCTTCACTTCATGCTCCAAGCGTGCACAGGCCCTGCACTGTTTTGCAGTTAAATTGCAAGACGAATGGCATGCTTAGCGCCATAAGTCGGTAAAAGTACGAATAATAGTCTGCAGATTAGCTCTTGATAGCCTTATATATTACTGCTAATGCCCTTTGTGGTTTCCAAGTGTTCACTGGAGGCGGGTCTGCCAATGCTTGCGTTTCGAGCCGTGTTTCGGAGGCCCTTGCAGCAAGCAGTGCGGCAACTCATAGCAAGCCATTCCTCCTCTGCACTTTCTCCAGCTCTGGTGACTGTACCTTCAGGAGTGTCTAAGGCAGGAGCGGACTTATGAACATTTCAGGAGGTCGTGCCAAGACATTTAGACACTGTCGGTGCCCCTGGCTGTCTTGGGCTAAAGCCATGAACTCTCGTTACACTGTGTGTGATGCCAAATTGCTGGTAAATATAGGGCAGCTCCTAAAGGTGGCGGCTGAACTAATTATAGGGTACTTAGCATGACAAACCAGTGCTCTTGGCCACTGGGTTTTGATGACTCACCGTCAGGATAACGAAGCAAACATGTGGAGAGAGTGGGGCCCATTATCCTAACTCTGTACTAATTTGCCCCCTATTTGCCTGTCTCACTGCACTTCTGCTGCTATAAAGGATACCTTTACCTGGAATGTCAGCGGTCCAATTCAGACACCTGATGCAGATGTAATTTCCTGTGTTCGGCGTTCTGGGCCGTCTACGCAACACGAGGGGAGCTGCAACTCAGGCAGCTTGCCAGTAACCGGAATGCTCGATTTAAACTTTTTAAAGCACTGCCGTGAACTGCAATGGATCCAACAGAATCTTGGTGGTAGTTTCGGAAAAGCACGTAACATTTATACTCAGCCTCGCCAAACTCAAGGGGTCATTGGCAGAGCAGCCCAAACGCGTGGGGCTGCCAGCGACAAATAGCGATACTAGGAGGTGCAATGCGCGAGGTCCAGGCTGCACGCATCAGAACAATCACGTCTGGAAACTTGTTTGCCAGATGTGTCGGGGTCTGATAGGCAGTTTAAACGATGAAGTGCTTACAAAACAAGTAAGAATGCCGATAATTTTGAATCCTCGAGCAGATCGCGTAGAGCTATTTCTCTCAAACCCGATTGTTGTTTCTCTGGAAGCGGTATCAGTAGCTGGCAGATATTCTGTTCTTTTGGGAACCCCTTGTGTGCCGGGAAAACAACATCCAAACTGGTGTGTTACTGGCATCGATTGTTAGAAAGAAACGCGCACCGAAATAGGTTGCGCCTTCGGTAAGACACCCTGCCGTGAAGCAAGCTGCCGTGCTGTGAGAGTGAGGCTCCTTATTCGCACCTTTCAGAGTGAACCACGCTGTGCTGGAAAGTGTAAGGATAACTGCAAATCTTAATTAAATGGCTAGTGACAATTGCACGGTAGCCAAATACTTTCCAACAACCGGACGGCCTTCCCAGACTCCAATCTTCTGCGCACAGCCACGCGGCCTGTAGAAGTGGGAAAAGAGGCGACAAGCTACGATTTGCGACGAACCTCGTTGCAGTTCATGAGGCAATATAGCCCTACATATGAACACGACCGTCTATTCATTGCTGCCTACATCTCCGCTGTGGAGCACTGCTAAAGCTTTTTCCTCCGTGTAGGAAGCTTACTTGCATGCAGGTTACTTACTAAGGTATTGTATGTGTTTATTCTCGAACTGCAGACAGAATATGCTACCATGAAGGTGCAGCATACGTGCAGCATACGATAGGGTACGTTGGCACGTTGGCCCGATGGTGGTATGTTTGCAGCGTATCCGGCCCTAGTAGGTAGACAACACGAGATTAAAACACCTGAACAGCTGTATACATTTTCTGTACATACACCCGAAAAGGCTTGTTTGTCCTTATACCTTCCCTCACGTTGAGTTGCAGCGAAGTTCGTAGCCTCTGCTGAAGGCAGGCAACCTCCTTTCCCGCAGACCCAGGAGCCTGAGCACCTGCTTTCAGGAACCCTTGGGATTGGAGAATGATGCGAATTGCTTTAAAATAACCCTCATCTTTAGTATTCGCCTTCGCTAGAGCTCGCGTTGCGCTGCTGTCCGCACTACTCTCTCTGTGTGACTTACTTCTAGGGTAAAAACACTCAGATATATGCGCTAATTAGACACTTGTAGTTAAACTATTAAACAAGATTGTTAATAAATAAGAAAACCTCCAGTGAGCTACGTCTACTTGGTAGCCTATTTCGTAAGGAACGTACCAACACACTACAGGGCCTCAAGGCAGGGGCCCCCCGTTGGCTTTCCACCCGGTCTGGTCTTGCTGTTGCTACTGCTGTTGGTGTTTCTGCCGGTGTAGCCGCTGTCTCTTCTGAATTCCCAAAGGGTATATTTCAACATATGGACTGGACTCTATAGGGAACAGTTGTGCGTGCTGGAGGCTTAGACAGGCAGATTATTTTTGGTTTTTGTCCCGTTGCGATCTACGTACGCCGCAGCTGCAGCCCCACCAGTACTGCCTGAATTATATGCGCCTAAATACGTTATTTACCGTGCTTCGAGGCATCATTCAAGCGTTCGAAATGACAGTCTTGCCTGCCGTTTACCTTTTCCTCCCCCCCGAGTGACCTCATCAGGCCGCAACGGAAGCAACAGCAGCAGTTCGCCCGCCATGCACCATACAGTCTGCGCTGTGTCTGCAACGGGGAGCTGTTCAGCTGCCCTGGAGTCCCCGCGTTGTCCCCAGGGAGCCTGCGGAGTAGCCTTGGCCCCTCCTCTCCAGCCGCTGGATGTCAGCGCCTGCTTGTCTGCTGCGAGCTTGCCTGTGACTTGCTCCCCGCTGTTTCGACTCTTTTTTCCCCTGACGCTCCTGGAGGCAGACAGAGGATGGCTCGTGGGGTGGGGGCTGCCTGACGGAACAGCCGTTGCATGCAGCCTCCTCCCGCCGCTTCCGTTGCACCTCATCGCTCTCTTCCTCCAACAGCTCAATGAAAGGCTCCTGAAGTCTGGCGGCCCCCGTAGACCGGATCAACGCACATGCAGCGATAGCAGCAACGGCTGTAGCGACGTATGCACGAACAGTAACAGTAGCAGTAGCACTAGCAGAAGCAAGGCAGGCGACGAAAGCGACCTTGTCTTTGACTACCGCGTGCTGCCGCAGCCCGTCCAGCTCATCGGTTGGTGGCGGGGGCCAGACTTAAAGGCAACTTGTCCCTTTTCTCAGACAGAGGTGCTTCTTTCCTTGCAGCAACAGCAGGACGGGGGTAGACCTGGGTTTGAGGAGCGCAACTCAGCTGTTTGGCTCGACCTCTGGTTAGAAGTGGCCACAGGCCTCCCCGTGCCACTCAGCATCGTTTCACACATAGCAGAAGGAACAGGTGCTGCAGATTCTGCTGGCGCAGCCGTAGATTCTGAAGCAAGAAGCTGGAGTATTGTACAATGCTCGGGAGCAGACACGGCAGCAGGAGAAGGCCCCCCTGCAGCAACGGCAGCCCCAGCACCACCAACAGCTACCGCTTCCCCTCGCTCTGTGGTGTTTTTGTATAGGCTACCGTCTTGGGTGAGTAGCACCACGCTAGCAGCTGCACCTCACGATGCAGCGCAGGCTTCTGCTGCGGCCGCATTCGTTCAGAGGCCAAAAGCAGCGCAGGCTCTTCTGCGCCAAGTGGCTCAGGACACCGGCACCGGCGGCCAGCAACAACAGCAGCCACAGCTGTTGCAACAGCAGCGGGGCGACGGAACCGAGCAGCTGTGCGGGTTTGAGGCATATCTGACGCTTCTCAACGTATCTGCGGCTGTCTACGCTAGCATTCAGCAGCAACTGCACTGCTGGAGGCTGTTGCAGTTGCGCCAGCAAGCAGAATCAGGAGCTACGGCAGAAACGGGGGCAGCAGGAACAGTAATAGCTGGTGGTTGCAGGGTCTCTCGGTGCAGGGTTGCCTTGCAGCCGCAGCAGAGGGGAGAATGCGGTAGTGATTTGTCCATGGCTTTTTCTTGTCGGGCCCGTGTTGTTGGCTATCTGGCTGCCCTGTTAGAGTTGCTGTGTTATGTGTTGTTATCTGCGGCGTATTGTGTGGGCACGGTGTGTCGGGCTGTATCAACACTGCGGCTATGGAGGCCCTTCGCATCGCCTGGAAGCAATCTGTGGCTTTCGGCCTCGCTGCAGCAGATTGTTTTGAGATTTCGCATTTGTGCTTCGTGGCCAGAGGCTTTGAGCCGCAAGCGGAGGTTTGATGCTGCGCTGGAGGATTGCAGCAGGCGGGAACAGCAGCAACAGCAGCAGCAGACGGCGGCGGCAGCAGCATCAGGCGCGTTGCAACTGGACGGCGCGGCCGTGCCTGCGTTGGTGTCTCCTCAACCCCGACTGAAGCGGTCGTGTTTGCCCCGGGGTTTATCTGTCTTCGCGTTGTGTCTGTACAGCGGCATTGTGGCGGTGGTGGTTGATGTGCTTCTGGGTCTCTTCCTGCCGCAGCTGCTGGCAGTGCTCATCTACCGGGGCATCCCTGCAGATGCTTGCTCCCCAGAGTATCTGTCTCGCCTTAAGGCTCCACCTCCAGAACCGACTGCCTTGCCGCCTCTGTGGCCTGTCTCTCTCAGCGAAGCTGCTGCTCCCCAGCTGTATCCCTTCCCGCCAGAGGAGGAGGAGCAGCAACAACAGCATGACCAGGAACTGGAGGCGCTTGAGGCTGTAGATGAAAGAGCCGCAGACAAGGAGGAGGAACAGCAGAGGCACGACAAATGTCTCGCTGTAGTTGCTGTAGCAGGGAGGAGCCAGAAGGTTCAGGATGTTTCAAGGGAGCGCAGGTGCTCCTCGGCCGCAGTGTTCTCGCCAGCGATGCCCCCAGCATCAGGAGGTGGAGCAAGAGCGGCAGGAGCAACAGCAGCAGCAGCAGGTCCACGAGGGGGTGGAGTAGTATCTCGCTCGCCTCCTTCCTGGCGGGAGTTGATGGTTGAACCAACATCAACTTTGCTGCTGCGCCTGTTCAGCGGGTGTTACTGCTTTCTGCATGTGGACTTGTTAACTGCCCACGTGCAGTGGCTGATGGACTTTCCTGCTGGCCTAAAGCTGAATGCCAACTTGACGTGGGTTCTGGGCTCAGTTGTCTTGACCGCCTCTCATCTATGGAACGACCTGACTGCTTACCTCCACTCCGCCGTCGCCACAGCCGAACAGCGCAAACGCGGCCTACTGTTGCAGCTGCAGCAACTGCAGCTGCAGCTGCAACAACACCACAAACAGCATGGTGCCAACCGCCAAACCCCCCCAGGCCTGCTTCAGTCCCTAAGCGAGACGATTGCAGCTGTCTCGCACATGCTGCGCTCGTTGCTGTGGCAGGAAGAACCTTCAGCTCCCACAAACTCGACCAAGCTCGCCTCTCCCCACGAACCGTCCGCACCTAGCAGCAACAGCAGCAGCAGCAAGAGTCTATGGAGCAAGTTTGTGCTCATGTGGAGCGCCTGTCACTTGTGGCTGAAGACGGGGCTTGGCTCTGTGCTGATGACCTTCCGTCTGGGGTGGTTGGGGCTATCGGCGTCATTGTTTGCTGCTGCATCTGCAGACCTGTTGATGGTGGGGACTCTGCACATCTTCTACGTGTACCTCGTGTGCGCCAGGCTGCTGCACGTGAACCTAAAGAGTTTGCATTCTCTCTTCCTCCTCTTCAGGTGAATTTCATGCTACGCCGTTTCCCGGGCCGCCGGCCTTCCCTGCTTCCCTGGCACCCCGAGAGTGTCGTATGTGTGGCGCTGAACCGGGCCCTAGTACTCCGGCCCTTGAACAAGGATCGTTGGTTGACTTTCAACACGATGAGACCCGAGAGCAGCCTCCGGCAGGGCTGCGGCGGCGCAGTGTTTCTGTTAGGCGTTGATATGTAATACAACCGCACTGCAGGCTGAAAGGACGGTTGCACTTAAACTGGCATATGAGAGCTGAAGGGGACACCAAAACCATTCAGCAGTTACCAGTGGTGACCCGACCCAAGAGAAGATTTGCCATCTAGTGGAGTACATTACTGTGCTTACGTAGCTGTACGAGCCAGGATTGGTCCGGATTCGTCTGGTGTTTGACTGCCACAGTTTATGTGTATGTTTGTGGGTTGGATTCGTCCATCTTGTTCTGTTGGTGGTGTGCTTCGGAATCCTCGTTCGCTGCGTCTTCTATTTAGGGGGCTGGTCGGTGTGTCTGTTTGTTTGTTGGATGTGTCCATATCCTTGCATGTTTTCCTGTTGCGTGTGACTTTGTTTTTATTTTATCCGAGGGGTGGGTCAGCTTCTGTTTTTTTTTCTCTTTGCGACTGTCGGCAGGGGACAAAAGTGGAATGTGCTGCGGCGGCGCGTGGACTCGGCGGACTTGCAGATGGACCAGCTGCTGATCGGATGCATTTTGTTTACCATCACCGTCTGTCTGTTCCCAACAACTTTGGTGTTTTACATCTCATATCTCCTCCTCTGGCTCCTTATCTTTGGAACCCATGCGCTGCTTCGGCTTGCCGTCTGCCTCTTCCTCGCCTACCCCACATGTCTCCTTGCCTTCCGGGCGGCATCTCCTCATCTCCTTGCCGCAGGTGTCTCCTTCGACCCGGTCACGGCCCTCAGCAAACAGACACGCAGATGCAGCAGCAGTGGCAACAGGAGCAACAGTAATACTGGCTCCACCGGCAGCACTGGCAGCAGCAGCGACACTGCGCGCTGCAGCCTGCTCCACCAGGGCAAATTCGGCACACGCACACAAGCTCCAGCCGACTCCCGTACTGGAGCGGCTGCAGAACCAGACCCTGCAGGTGGTGCTGCTGCAGTTCCGGCAGCTCGCAGCAGCGACAACATATATTTTATGCTGCGGGCTCGTCCCATATCGTACGGAGACATACTGTGGCCTCCCGTCCTCGCGGCGGCTAGGAACACACTCACGCCTCTCTACCCTTCCAACTTACTCCCCAAAATACTGCAAGGGGACATCATCCGGCTGTCCAGCCACAACAATGCCTGGTCTGCAGTTGATAGCTGAGGTGTACGTGCAGCTTGAGACAGCTGATATGTACAGGCAGCTGAGGCTGGATCAGCATCTTGTAGAGCGGAAGAGCGTGGAAAGAGGGAGAGATGCGGGGGGACCTGCACAGGGAGTTCGTGTCTCCGGCTCTCCCGCTCTGCCTGGATGCCTTTGTCTGTCGCCTCTTGCCTGGAGCGCCAGCGTCCCGTGTCGCAGCGTGTTGAGTCCATTGTCTCTCCGCACGTTGTCCTTCTTGGCTATCACTTCAGGGCATTTGCCGATGTTATTTTTGCGGGAAACTCGGGAATCTAGGGCGAAAACCACCCGAAGGGAACAGCTTAGCCTGCGACGCCAGCACCATATAACCTTAATCTCATCAAGTACCTCTAAACTGCAACGTGCTCTCAGCCAGGGGGACGCGTTCTTCTGCACATAGTCACAGTGCTGGGAGCTAACCACTTACGGCCCTTCCCGTCGTACTCCTGCCTCTTACCAACGTAGAGACGATGCAGACACTTCAACGGGAACGGCCGCGTGGGGTGCATCCATTCCCTGTTGGCGGGCATTGTTCATGACAACATAGTAGTGCTTCAGGTGCTGGCTCGTGCTGTGCTGGTGGGCAGTCTATTGAGTCCGTTGCAGAGCCTTAGGAGACAGTCTAACATGGGACAGCATTATGGGAAGCAGTGTATATTGCCGAACAGTCCCTCAGGAGGCAGTTTTGTCCTTCCACCCCATGGTAGTCGTCGTCTCCTTAACAGGCTTCCGGTTGTCACACTGTTGACGGTTGGTGTGCTTGATTATTGGGATGCTGTACTTGATGCGAGGATACATATCATGAGACAGCTGAACCTGAGACTACTGCTGATAAGGCGACCATCTGCTAAGAGAGCTAGCAGCAGGGCCATCTATGAGGGGACACTACTATTACCACTAAAAACCTGCTTAAGAAGATGCAATCGAGCATAGGGCAACTCATACACCCCAATGAAGGGTGCAGCCTTCAAAAAGACAGTTTCCTCGGGGGAGGCTTGTACGACGACAGCACAAAAATGTGTCGCCTTATGAGGAGACACATAATACACGGGAGATAGCCTTCTCACGAAGGGCTCCCGTCCATTTGGGGACAACTTCAATAACACATGATGTGTGCTGCTGTTCTGGGTGGTTCCCTAGTCTGCCCTAAATATATTTATACACATGTATACACATACATGTATGTATGTACATATACAAGCAAACATGCAAACATATATGTACGCCATTAACATACATCCATATTAATAGATCCTGGACCATGCGCATACACACCAATGCTTTTGTATGCAGTTATATGCAGCTCTGAGTTTTCCCCGAGCCGGGGGAGACGCCAGATGGATTTACACGGGGGCGAGCACACACGGGAGACAGACAAAAAGGGTTCGGTCCCTGCTGAATCCCTGCAATCCCCGCGGTGCCTCTAGAAACAGTCACCCACAAAACCAAAACAGAAAATATCCCTTGACAACCAAAGGATGTTCCTCCCGATCAACAACCAGGCGGCGACTACGTTTCCCTACTACTATGCTGCCCCTGTGGTATGGGACCGAGGAGCCCGTCTCCTCGGCCCCAAATGGACTCGGGGGTCTTCTGGCTCCTCCTCTGCTGTTGCTGCCGTCTCTGTAGAGGCCGCAGGACTACCAGCCACAGGTCTGGCCGCAGAGGCCGCCGGGTCGAGAGCGGACAAAGAAGCACCAGTGCCTGCCTCCGTAGCAGCAGCGACACGTCGCAGCTGCTGAAGCATTTGTTGGCAGGCCCTCCTCATGGCTGCAACGCTCATTGCCTCATCAGGGACATCAGCAAGTGAGTAATACCTCCAGTTTCCAAATGGGGGGGGCCGCACGCCTTCGAAGGTCTCCGTACAATGCGTGCTATCCGTAGCCTCACTGCAAGCCCCAGGGGACTCCCCTCGAGCTGTAGCAGGGCGCCTAGGCAACGCAATCTCTTGCTCCTCCCCCACCCTGCGCCCACGTGTTGTTGCAGCAGACGCGGATGCTTGGGTTCCTACGCTTGCTGCTGGTGCTGCTGCTTCTACTGCCCCCGCCTCTCCTCCTGCAGTGGTTGCTCCTTCTGTGGAAGCTCGTCCCGCTGGCTGTTCACTAAGAACGGCCGAATCCGCCTGGACGCTGCTGCTGCTGCTGCTAGCAACTGTACCTGCAACTTGTGTTGTTGTGGTTGCTGCTGGTGCTCCCCTTGCTGTTAACGCTTCTCCCTGTGTGACCACCATCGCCGAAGCATCAGCAGAACCTGCTTCTGTCTGCCCTGTGGCCGGCGGACCCTCACCAGGCACGACAGCAGCAACTGGAGATCCAGGGTGCTCCACGTCTTCACCGCCAGCAGGGCCACTTGCAGCAGCAACCGTGGATGGAGAGGGATGTTCTTCCGGCATCCTAAGAGCAGCAAAGGTCTGCAGCAACCGTTGTTCCAGTTGGGGGTCGCCTGAGGCAAAGACGGGCAAAGGCCGACGACACTCATTCTCCGCTGCAGCAGAATCTCCTACTACCGCCACAGGTAGCTTAGTGCTAGGATGCACAGGGAGGGGCGCGTCGCCGCCAGGAGCTGCTGCTGCCATTGTAGCAGAAAGCCCTTGGAACAGAAGAATAAAGATCTCAAAAGTCTGCTGTTTCCCAAGGTACTACGGCTACTGCCACTGCTGCTCCTGCTGCGGCTGCGGATGCAAAGTGGTGTGCCTGTATCCGTCGCCGCCGCTACTCCGTCGCCGGGGGGGGGG